TTCTCCCCCTCCCCCCCTGTAGCGTGGCCGAGCCCAGTATAGCCGGCGGGTACAGGGAGCTTTTGTTTCCTGTACCCGGCCGGACTGACAGGAAGTGAACACTCAGTGTGCACTTCCTGTTAGTCCGGCCGGGTACAGGAGACAGCTGCTCTCTGTACCCGTCGGACCATGCTGCAGTGAGGGAGCTGACAGGAGCGCTCCCTCCTGTCAGTTTCCTTTCTCAGGCTGCGCCCGGGCGGTGCAGTCCGCCCTCATGGACGCACCGCCCGGGCAAAGCTGCAGCCGCCTGAGGCTCTTTACAGAGCGCTCGGGCGGCTGCAGCATGGGGGGGGGGCGGCGGGGCTGGCCATGGCACCCCCCACCCGGCTGGCACCCGGGGCGGACCGCCCCCCCCTTAGTACGCCACTGATCACAGTACCCCAATATCGGTGGGTCCTACACTAATTACGTCACAGTACCCCAATATCGGAGGGTCCTACATTAATTATGTCACAGTACCCCAATATCGGCGGGTCCTACACTAATTACGTCACATTACCCCAATATCGGTGGGTCCTACAAACTGTATTTTTATGTGAGCTTGGTTCCTTAATCTGTTATATGTATACATCTTGGTCGCTACGGCAGTATGAATGTGAGATACCAGGCTCCGGTAGTTTATTCTATATACAGTATACAGTGCTTGTATTTAGCTTTCTTTGTCTGTTTCATTTGAAACCTAAGTTTGCCAATAAAATGAAATAAAATGATACCGTGATATATTTTGGCAAACTCTTCCAGATAATGATAAATAGCTTGTTACACAAAGTCCACTATAAACAATTATTATTCCCAACATCAACACATTGCTCTCTCCGATCTTGATTTTTCAGTGATAACTGTAACTACCTCATTAGTTATTCTGATTCCACTGGTGGAAATCGCTGCTTGAGTCCCAATACATGTTTTGTTAAAACATTGCACAGAAAAAGATGGTTCCTGTGTTCTGTGAGAAAGTTGTTTATAGTTAAAGTGACACTCCACTGCCCAAATAAAAACAAAAACAAAAAAGCAAACGGCTGTCTAGTAGATATACCTTAAATTAAAACATACATGTATTTCATTATGCATGCTTTAATTAGTGGTTAAACATCCTGTATAAGGTGTAGATCTCTTGTCTGCAGTCTTTACAAGCCCTCCCTTTCTAACCCCGCCCAGACTTTCTGTGACTGTCCAATCACAGACTGTCCAGTGCAGCTCAGTGAGAAAGCAGGTGCTCTGGGCAATTGTTTCCGCTTGAGTTTAGTTACACTGAGCTAAGCAAACCAGGAAATAACATGAGCGATTGTCTGATTGACAGCCAGGTGGGTGTAACAAGGTTCATTTATAAAAGTGACAATTTCTATTGAAATCTGCACTATTTGTAAAATTAAAAAAAAGAGGGGACACTCTTCACAGATAAAGTACTTCGGCCAAATAAACTGCTTTAGATGTCTGTAGCGTTCCTTTAGAGCAGTTTTCTACTGTTAAATCTAGACAGCTCTGAGCACGCGTAAGCAGGTACGGTATTTAGGTAGGAGCTGTAATATGTATTAAAGATGTTGTGGTGTTTGCTTGTAACTGTAGCGTGCTCACATTTCCATAGAGTGGGAATCTGGAGAGTATTAATTGAAAACTCAACCATTAAAAGGGTACAGTTAAAACATAACTAAACAATGGCTTCTGAATGACCAGCTGAATACTTGGACTCAAAGCTCAAAAGTAAAACAAATGTTTTTGATCCGGTAATAAACGTAATTTTACAAAGATACATGCTAGGTGTCACATCAGTGCAGGTAGGGACCTAAACAGGAGCAATGGGGGATAGGTGAACCCTCATTAGTGTGAGCTTGGGCGCAGCTCACAAATGCCTTCTGCACATTTTTACCTTAAAAAAACACACCAAATACCATAACCATTACAGATTTCTGCAGTGATTATGGTTCCAAGATTGACCCCCCCACCCTTATTGTAAGTAATCAAACCATTTTAGAGCAGTTTGATTTCTTACCTGCAGTCCACCAAACACCGCACCCACCTCCACTACCACGCTGGGTAGAGGGACACTGTCTGAAGCTGTAATGGTTACGGTGCCTGGATTGTTCTTTTAAATACAGAAAATGTCAGCCACAATCCTTATTACACATTCTATATTTCTTTCCATTTTTTTCAGCATCAGCAGGAAGAAAAAGCATTAACAGCTCTGCCACGCTGTCTCTGTCACTGTCAGATAGTCTGTGCCACTCGTACGAGAATATCACCAGAACCGAATCTCCCGCCTGTAAGTAAATCGCGGCTATTAACTCGTCAAGGCGTAAATGTATAAAACGAATAGGTAACTGCGTTTATTAGATATTAACAGGAATGTCACATGTGGGCATTTTTACAACCTGATATTTAATTAAAAATGAGTTTTTCAGTTTACATGACATGTATGGCTGTTCTGACACGGCCCTGGCACGCTATGTAAATTAATGTAATCAATGCTTCTGTGAGCCTGTAGCATTGTGCAGGGGGTTATACTGCCCTCAATATGGAAACACAGTGTCGCTAGAAGTGTTTTTACTGAACTCCACTGGGTGGGTGCGGTGTTTGGTGGACTGCAGGTAAGAAATCAAACTGCTCTAAAATGGTTTGATTACTTACAATAAGGGTGGGGGTCAATCTTGGAACCATAATCACTGCAGAAATCTGTAATGGTTATGGTATTTGGAGTGTTTTTTTAAGGTAAAAATGTGCAGAAGGCATGATTTACAAAGGGGTCAGTCACAGCAGCCAGCCAGCAACAGTAAATAAGGTGTGAATAGGGTCCAGAGTGTTAGAGACGGTCGAGAGTTCATACATATATTCTGCGCATGTACAATATGCGGCATCAGATCAAAACAGCTGATTCTGTGTCACTTCTGGTTATGCGGAACACCATCTCGATCTCCACCGTATCGCGAAATAATGCACGTCTGAAACATGTGTCACCTACATGAAAAAGTTTGGAAAGCTCTGAATTAACCTATTGCATCATATTAAACGATTATACTCTACTATATCACATTACCCACTCCCTAATATCACGCCATTACCATACTACTATATCACATTACCCACTCTCTAATATTACGCCATTACCATACTACTATATCACATTACCCACTCCCTAATATCACGCCATTACCAGACTACTATATCACATTACCCACTCTTTAATATCACGCCATTACCATACTACTATATCACATTACCCACTCCCTAATATCACGCCATTACCAGACTACTATATCACATTACCCACTCTTTAATATCACGCCATTACCATACTACTATATCACATTACCCACTCCCTAATATCACGCCATTACCATACTACTATATCACAATACCCACTCTCTAATATTATGCCATTACCATACTACTATCACATTACCTACTCTTTAATATCACGCCATTACCATACTACTATATCACATTACCTACTCCCTAATATTACACCATTACCATACTACTATATCACATTACCCACTCCCTAATATCACGCCATTACCATACTACTATATCACATTACCCACTCCCTAATATCACGCCATTACCATACTACTTGTAACGGAGCTCCCTGTACTCTGACCGAGTACCCTCCGTTGATGGATGCTCCTAGCGCTTCCTGAGGACTCCAAACACTGCAGCCGACACCACAACCACCGCAGACTCCACAACCGCCGTAGCTTAACTGGAGTCTCGCCGTCTTCCTTCCACCCTGGATCAGCTTCTGTCCTCCAGGACCGTGTGGGGAAGACCTCTCCTCCAGGAGAGCGTAACAGGAACAGCTCTTAAAAGAGCTAAGTGATTAAAAGCTCAGGGGAGTATGCAGAGCATAGCAATCCCCAGTGTGATATAGCAGTTCCCTCCAATAACGAGACAAGGCTACGTATTGAGGGTCAAGAAGATCTGATGTTTAATGGCACACACTCTGCTTTTATGAGATTCTGCCCATGCAAGGGAGACACCCACATAATTAGCAGTATAACCAATCGGAACAATATACATTCGGGGAAATTCTCATCCCTCAGATAATCACATAACATAATTAAAACAGAACAGTAAAAATACAGTTTTTATACATGTACTATAACTTCCAAACTACACATCCAATCTTCATAAAAATTACATATTTGGAATCAATCCATTAAGGGGAGCAACATATTAAAAAATGGCACAAATCAGACAAGGGGTTCAAAAGTTAGCAAAAGTGTCTTTTGGGGCCTGGCTGGCAGCATGGTTTTCTGGCCCAAACCGGTTTTACAGAGGCCTCTATCCTGGACAATGGGGAAAGTAATCCAATTATCCAGGGATAGAGGCAGACTCCATTAACCACATGTTAGCAAAAGACACAAAAAGACACAAAAATACATAACTCCTATTGAACTGAACAGAACCCCCACATTCAACCTATCCCCAGATGGCTTGGATCTGAGCGCTCAATATATCCAAACAGCGCTCAGATCCCACAAATACAGTCAAATCGCCATACACACTAGGTCCATAGTCATGGGGCAGAAGGCTGGCAATTAGGCTTCTCCATAACACAGGGAAGCAGGGCAATTTGTCAAATAAAATAACAGTTACAAATGGCAGTTTGTAACATATCTCCCCTTTTGGAGGGAGACTAACCAGGCACCTGACCTCCTGTCGGTCAGTGCCTAAGTTAGTCTCGCAGCCCACCCACAAATAACAAGTAGCAAAGTAGCCCCCCCACAATAAACAGTACTGGCCTGTAGGTTCCAGGCTGTAGGATGAAAATGCAGCATCCTCTGCCTTCCTGGTGCAGCTGGGCAAATAGCTGGTGGTACTTGGGGGGCAGAGGCCAGCGGCGCTCTGCCCTGATGCCCGCACTTCTGCTGGGGAGAGGGGGTTGCAGACCAGTCCTGTAACAAGGGGGTCGGTAGGGCAGAGGCCAGCGGCGCTCTGCCCTGATGTCAGCTCTTCCGCTGGGGTAGCCGGCAGAATGTCACGCTCTGTACAAGGGACACAGGGAGGGCAGAGGCCGACTGCACTCTGCCCAGCTGCCAGCTCTTCCGCTGGTATAGCCTGCAGGACATCAGGCTCTGGACAAGGGACAAAGGGAGGGCAGAGGCCGACTGCACTCTGCCCAGCTGCCAGCTCTTCCGCTGGGGGGCTTGGGACATAGTCCGGCTCAGTAGCCAGGGGAACGTGGGGGTCAGTGGGGGTTAACATCTCCTCTGTTAACCCTGGGGCCAAGTTAGGAGTTAGCTGGGAGGGGAATTCGTACTTACCCCCTCCTCCTGTTGTCCCTGTGAGGGTAGTTGGGGATCTGGACAGGCTGTCCAGCATCCCTGTAGGTCGGGCACAGAGACCACGGTCCCCTCTGCGCCATCTGGGAGATTGGTGTCTCCCTTGGTAGGGTAAGCTGCCGCTGGGGAGATAGGGTGCTGTGCTCCTCTCCCTGAAACACAGGCTGCCGCTGGAGAGGGAGACCGCCTGTCTCCACTCCCATAACATTGTCCTGCTGCTGGAGAGAGAGACCAACTGTCTCTGCTCCCTGTAGGACACACTGCTGCTGGGGAGGAAGGACGACACCTTCGGCTCCCTGTAACTGCACTGCCACTGGGGAGGAAGGACGACACCTTCGGCTCCCTGTAACTTGCACTGCCGCTGGGGAGAGAGACCAACTGTCTCTGCTCCCTGTAGGACACACTGCGCTGGGGGGGAAGGACGACACCTTCGGCCCCCTGGAATTCGCACTGCCGCTGGGGAGGAAGGACGACACCTTCGGCTCCCTGTAACTTGCACTGCCGCTGGGGAGGAAGGACGACACCTTCGGCTCCCTGTAACTTGCACTGCCGCTGGAGACTAGGTGTCCATATCCTCACCTCCACAGTTGTCGCTCAAAGGCCATTGCCACACTGTTCTCAGCACTCAACTGGCGCATTACTTGTTGGACCACCTCGTTCGAAAGGTCTGGGCCATAGCAGACCAACCGCCTCTTTACCTCCTCAATGTAAGCGTCGTCCTCGTAGCGACGTATCATGTTGAGGTGCTCTTCGCAGGGCTCTATCCATCCCTGCTCCATGCTGCTGTAGTTAGGGACGCTGCACAGTGGCTAGCGTTGCCCTCAATAACCTCTCATACGATATCCAGCTGCTTCTCCTCGCACTAGGACGCCATCCCACCGCTGCCACCAATGTAACGGAGCTCCCTGTACTCTGACCGAGTACCCTCCGTTGATGGATGCTCCTAGCGCTTCCTGAGGACTCCAAACACTGCAGCAGACACCACAACCACCGCAGACTCCACAACCGCCGTAGCTTAACTGGAGTCTCGCCGTCTTCCTTCCACCCTGGATCAGCGTCTGTCCTCCAGGACCGTGTGGGGAAGACCTCTCCTCCAGGAGAGCGTAACAGGAACAGCTCTTAAAAGAGCTAAGTGATTAAAAGCTCAGGGGAGTATGCAGAGCATAGCAATCCCCAGTGTGATATAGCAGTTCCCTCCAATAACTAGACAAGGCTACGTATTGAGGGTCAAGAAGAACTGATGTTTAATGGCACACACTCTGCTTTTATGAGATTCTGCCCATGCAAGGGAGACACCCACATAATTAGCAGTATAACCAATCGGAACAATATACATTCGGGGAAATTCCCATCCCTCAGATAATCACATAACATAATTAAAACAGAACAGTAAAAATACAGTTTTTATACATGTACTATAACTTCCAAACTACACATCCAATCTTCATAAAAATTACATATTTGGAATCAATCCATTAAGGGGAGCAACATATTAAAAAATGGCACAAATCAGACAAGGGGTTCAAAAGTTAGCAAAAGTGTATTTTGGGGCCTGGCTGGCAGCATGGTTTTCTGGCCCAAACCGGTTTTACAGAGGCCTCTATCCTGGACAATGGGGAAAGTAATCCATTATCCAGGGATAGAGGCAGACTCCATTAACCACATGTTAGCAAAAGACACAAAAAGACACAAAAATACATAACTCCTATTGAACTGAACAGAACCCCCACATTCAACCTATACCCAGATGGCTTGGATCTGAGCGCTCAATATATCCAAACAGTGCTCAGATCCCACAAATACAGTCAAATCGCCATACACACTAGGTCCATAGTCATGGGGCAGAAGGCTGGCAATTAAGCTTCTCCATAACACAGGGAAGCAGGGCAATTTGTCAAATAAAATAACAGTTACAAATGGCAGTTTGTAACACTACTATATCACATTACCCACTCCCTAATATTACGCCATTACCATACTACTATTTCACATTACCCACTCCCTAATATCACGCAATTAACATACTACTATATCACATTACCCACTCCCTAATATTACACCATTACCAAACTACTATATCACATTACCCACTCCCTAATATCACGCAATTACCATACTACTATATCACATTACCGACTCCCTAATATTACGCCATTACCATACTACTATATCACATTACCCACTCTCTAATATTACGCCATTAGATTACTATATCACATTACCCACTCCCTAATATCACGCCATTACCATACTACTGTATCACATTACCCACTCTCTAATATTACGCCATTATATTACTATATCACATTACCCACTCCCTAATATTACGCCATTACCATACTACTATATCACATTACCCACTCCTTAATATCACGCTATTACCATACTACTATTTCACATTACGCACTTCCTAATATCACGCCATTACCATGCTACTCAAATCATGTCATTACCCCGATATCCTATTCTACCCTTTTCATTATCTCCCTATTCCATACTCTTACCAACAGCATGTTATTTACGCCATTATCCTATAAAACTCTTCCTACATTCTATATTGTTATTTATATTCGATTTTCTGAATTTACAGTATCCTATAATTCACTCCCTATTACATCACAAGCCTATTTAAATCCATTTCTCTTCTCTTTCAGCCGGCACAGCAGATTTTGACTATGTAAACGTGGCAGAAAAAACGAGACTCTCCTAGTCCTGCTCCCAATCTCGCTCTGTGCCAACATGGCATCTGCATTTTTACGCCAACAAGGCATCTGTGTTCTTACACCAACATGGCATCTGCATTTTTACGCCAACAAGGCATCTGTGTTCTTACACCAACATGGCATCTGCATGCTGTGCCAACATGGCATCTGCATGCTGTGCCAACATGGCATCTGTCTCCTGCGCCAACATGGCATCCGCGTACTGTGCCAACATGGCGTCTCTGATCTTTCGTTAACATGACATCTGCATCCTGCATCAACATGGCATCTGTTTCCTGTGCCAACATGGCACCTGCATCCTGCGCCAACTTGGCAACTGCATCCTGTGCCAGCATGACTACTGTTTCCAATAAGGCATGTGTGTCCTGCGCCAACATGGGTTGGAAGAAGAGAGACTAGTATAGATCTAAAACTCCGTATGACTTGCTCCATGACAAAATGGAAAACATAGAACTGCTTCATTGTAAATATATTCTTTAACCCAAAACAATTTGAGAATCATGACAGCAATTTCATAAAGATTTAACATCATAAAACTGAAAAAACCAATTCATTTAAAGCTCCCTACTTATCTATGTAACATGTTTTTCATCTTCTTTCTAAACACTGGTGGTCACTCACATGGCGCAGAGCATCACGTCTGCTCCTCAGTAGCTTGCCTTTGTTAGATTCTCACCGTAGCTACATGACCAACTGAGGTTCCTTTAAATTAATATAAATAAGATAAGTAACCTCCAAAGAAACACAGTTTGTGTTTTCAAAATTATATAAAAACTAGAAAAAAATGCTTAGAATTTTATCTTACATACTGAAACATTGGACATTATATTCTGTTTCCTCCACATCAGTCTATATATCCCATTAGGAGCCATTTGTATTAGCTATCATTCATTTAGGAGAATTATGAAGAATTTCTCATATTTTGTGAATACATCATTTTTATTACTTTTTTTAACGAGAGTATTATTCATTTTGTGCTACAGGGCGAAGCTTACAGTCCGGGTTATTCACAAAGTCCTGAATTGTTGAGAATTACAAATTTAACCCTTTAATAGCCAATCTGGAAATGTAACTTTCTTTGAGATGTTTTTCCAGTAATTTTGACCTCAGATTTGCAATTCTGTGATATAATACAGAAAATTCAGGATTTACTGAATAACTCGGCCTGTGTGATATGTTGCTACACTATAAATCAACTTACCGTTTGTTCCGCTTTATTGGTTTTATAGAATATAGAATGTGCTAACTGTTATAAATAAAACAAGCATTTCCAAAATTACAAAACTTTATTTGATGAACAATTATTGGTCAACAAGAACATAGCGAAATGTTTGCATTTACCCCATTTTAGATGTTACCCCTAACTGCATCCAATTTCACTTACCTTCTGGCTGCGAGGGCGAGAAGGGAAGGAATAATGACTTATCTCAGCCTCTCTCCCTGGTGCTGCTATATTATTGGTTTAAATCTTCTGGCAATGTTATCTGCCCAGAGCCGTGTCACTATGTCACATGTCATCATAGATGGCGGCTGTAACGCATCACAGTTCATTTCTGATAGGAAATGGCGAGGCGTGGGAGCAGAATCTATTGAATTTTAACAAAAATGAATTCCAACACAGACTTTATGAGTTTATTAGAAAGATTCTATGTTTGTGACAAACGCAAAAGTTGCAGAGTTACAAAACTGTATACTGTAACAAAACTGTATACTGTATACTGTAACAAAACTGTATAATGTATGCTGTAACAAAACCGTATACTGTAACGAAACGGTATACTGTATACTGTAACAAAACTGCATACTGTATACTGTGACAAAACTGTATACTGTAACAAAACTGTATTCCTAACGCTATATTGTCCCATTGCCCTGTCCCCACAGCAGTTAAGAAAGGGTTAAAACCCCTTTATTTCACATACCTGATTCCAGCGCTGAGGTCCCCTCTCTCCGGCAACATTGCGCACACACATTAGGCGTCCCCATGGGAAAGTATAGAGGTTAACTATTGCGCACACACATTAGGGGCCCCCGAGGTGAAGTGGTAGAGGTTAACACAGTAAAGGAGTTTAAGCATGCGTGGGATAGGCATAAGGCTATCCTAACTATAAGATAAGGCCAGGGACTAATGAAAGTATTTAGAAAATTGGGCAGACTAGATGGGCCGAATGGTTCGTATCTGCCGTCACATTGTATGTTTCTATGTTTCTATAGAGTCAATGCTCTCTTGCGGAGTTTTTAAGACACTAGATGTCCAAAGTGTGAGGGTGTCCAGGGTCGCTTCACGGAGTTAAACTCAGAGAAACTGCAGGAAATGGCATGGGAGACAGCCACTAGAGGCAGTCCTAACCCTGCACTATAAACATTGCAGTAACTCTAAAACCGTTTTACATTGCAGGGTTAAGGCGACAGGGACACTGCACCCATATTAATTAGATGAAGAAGTCTAGGTACTGAGTATACACTCACAGCTTCATAGCTTCACATAGTGCTGAGTACACACTCACAGCTTCACACAATGCTGAGTATACACTTACAGCTTCACACAGTGCTGAGTATACACTTACAGCTTCACACAGTGCTGAGTATACACTTACAGCTTCATACAGTGCTGAGTACACACTTACAGCTTCACACAGTGCTGAGTACACACTCACAGCTTCGCACACTACTAAGTATGCACTTACAGTTTCACACAATGCTGAGTATACACTTACAGCTTCACACAGTGCTGAGTACACACTCACAGCTTCACACAGTGCTGAGTATACACTAACAGCTTCACACAGTGCTGAGTATACACTAACAGCTTCACACAGTGCTGAGTATGCACTTACAGTTTCACACAATGCTGAGTACACACTCACAGCTTCACACAGTGCTGAGTATGCACTTACAGTTTCACACAATGCTGAGTATACACTTACAGCTTCACACAGTGCTGAGTACACACTCACAGCTTCACACAATGCTGAGTATACACTCACAGCTTCGTACAGTGCTGGGTTTTCATAGCTAGTTTCACACAGTGCTGAGTACACACTCACACCTTCACACAGTGCTGAGTACACACTCACAGCTTCGTACAGTGCTGGGATTTCATAGCTAGTTTCACACAGTGCTGAGTACACATTCACAGCTTTGCACAGTGCTGAGTATGCACTTACAGAGTCACGCAGTGCTGAGTACACACTCACAGCTTCACGCAGAGATGAGTGCACAGTTTACACCAAGCTTTCTCTGAGTCCTCTCAGTTACAAGAAAGGAGCGGGAGACACGGGAAGCAATTAAACCTTAGCAATAATACATTCTTTATTTAGAAAATATCACAAAATATTCAACTGTTACACATACATCGAAAGGAATAAACTTCGAGCCGACCAAAAAGAACATAAAATATCTGAAGGTGCTCCCTCCCCTAAATCCTCTTAGACAAAGCAAACGCTCTTATTATTACATTATCAAAAACGTTATTGTATTGGCAGTTATTGTATTGGGAGTTATTGTATTAGCAGTTATTGTATTGGGAGTTATTGGATTGGGAGTTATTGTATTGGGAGTTATTGTATTGGGAGTTATTGTATTGGGAGTTATTGTATTAGCAGTTATTGTATTGGGAGTTATTGTATTAGCAGTTATTGTATTAGCAGTTATTGTATTGGGAGTTATTGTATTAGCAGTTATTGTATTGGGAGTTATTGTATTAGCAGTTATTGTATTAGCAGTTATTGTATTGGGAGTTATTGGATTGGGAGTTATTATATTAGCAGTTATTGTATTAGCAGTTATTGCATTGGGAGTTATTGCATTGGGAGTTATTGTATTGGGAGTTATTGTATTAGCAGTTATTGTATTGGGAGTTATTGTATTAGCAGTTATTGTATTGGGAGTTATTGGATTGGGAGTTATTGTATTGGGAGTTATTGTATTGGGAGTTATTGTATTAGCAGTTATTGTATTGGGAGTTATTGTATTGGGAGTTATTGTATTAGCAGTTATTGTATTGGGAGTTATTGTATTGGGAGTTATTGTATTGGGAGTTATTGTATTAGCAGTTATTGTATTGGGAGTTATTGTATTAGCAGTTATTGTATTGGGAGTTATTGGATTGGGAGTTATTGTATTGGGAGTTATTGTATTGGGAGTTATTGTATTAGCAGTTATTGTATTGGGAGTTATTGTATTAGCAGTTATTGTATTGGAAGTTATTATATTGGGAGTTATTGTATTAGCAGTTATTGTATTGGGAGTTATTGGATTGGGAGTTATTGTATTGGGAGTTATTGTATTGGGAGTTATTGTATTAGCAGTTATTGTATTGGGAGTTATTGTATTGGGAGTTATTGTATTGGGAGTTATTGTATTGGGAGTTATTGTATTAGCAGTTATTGTATTGGGAGTTATTGTATTGGGAGTTATTGTATTAGCAGTTATTGTATTGGGAGTTATTGTATTAGCAGTTATTGTATTAGCAGTTATTGTATTGGGAGTTATTGGATTGGGAGTTATTATATTAGCAGTTATTGTATTAGCAGTTATTGCATTGGGAGTTATTGCATTGGGAGTTATTGTATTGGGAGTTATTGTATTGGGAGTTATTGTATTAGCAGTTATTGTATTGGGAGTTATTGTATTAGCAGTTATTGTATTGGGAGTTATTGTATTAGCAGTTATTGTATTAGCAGTTATTGTATTGGGAGTTATTGCATTGGGAGTTATTGTATTGGGAGTTATTGTATTGGGAGTTATTGTATTAGCAGTTATTGTATTGGGAGTTATTGTATTGGGAGTTATTGTATTGGGAGTTATTGTATTAGGAGTTATTGTATTGGGAGTTATTGTATTAGCAGTTATTGTATTAGTAGTTATTGTATTAGCAGTTATTGTATTGGGAGTTATTGGATTGGGAGTTATTGTATTGGGAGTTATTGTATTGGGAGTTATTGTATTAGCAGTTATTGTATTGGGAGTTATTGTATTGGGAGTTATTGTATTAGCAGTTATTGTATTGGGAGTTATTGTATTGGGAGTTATTGTATTGGGAGTTATTGTATTAGCAGTTATTGTATTGGGAGTTATTGTATTAGCAGTTATTGTATTAGCAGTTATTGTATTGGGAGTTATTGTATTAGCAGTTATTGTATTGGGAGTTATTGTATTAGCAGTTATTGTATTAGCAGTTATTGTATTGGGAGTTATTGTATTAGCAGTTATTGTATTGGGAGTGATTGGATTGGGAGTTATTGTATTGGGAGTTATTGGATTGGAAGTTATTGGATTGGGAGTTATTGGATTGGGAGTTATTGTATTGGGAGTTATTGCATTAGGAGTTATTGTATTGGGAGATATTGTATTGGGAGTTATTGCATTGGGAGTTATTGCATTGGGAGTTATTGCATTAGCAGTTATTGCATTGGGAGTTATTGTATTGGGAGTTATTGTATTAGCAGTTATTGTATTAGCAGTTATTGCATTAGGAGTTATTGTATTGGGAGTTATTGCATTAGCAGTTATTGCATTAGCAGTTGTTGTATTAGCAGTTATTGTATTGGGAGTTATTTTAGATGTTAGATGTTACATACTAGTCCTGGCTTTCCATTCTAAAACGAAGGCTGTGTTTATTTATATTATTCTGAATGTATCATGTGTAACATGAAGTGTTTGTGGTAGAGAACATCTTCATCGAGAGAGATTTATCGTAACGTGTCATTACTATAACATTAAAACATTGTAAACATATCAGATATTGATGTATATCTATTAATATTTGTGATTAATGCATTCAAATCAAAGCTTTATTTTATAAATTAGAAATGTGTCCATTTATTGTCTGAGAATTAGTTACATCGACTCACTGGGTTCTCTTTTCTACAATCTTATGTGTCCTGGTTAGCAGAAGGTCCAGTTTCAGGAAGTATCCGTTTCATTTCCCTAAACCATCTCAGCAGACGCATGACGGTTATTATAGTTCTATAGTTATTAGATCAAGTTAGAAACGGATCCTGTGAAACGCAATT